TGACTTAGCAAACCCCAGCTTCATGGTAGGACACTGGGCAGATTTCAGAACACCCTGACAAACACTGGCACTGGCACAGCACGCCCAGGCTGCCTAAACACAGCTCCTATCACCAGCTAATTTCTCTCTCCTCAGCTTTCACAACCACCAGTGTTTCCAAACACCAGCCCTGGAGTCAGCCCACCAACAGGCTGGGGCAGAGCAGCACTCACAGTCCTGCTCCTGATTCTCTCACTTACCTCACTGGCAAGAGGACATTCTTCATCCCAGTTGATTCTCTCCTTCCTCCACAGCACAGGTAGGCACTTAGTTAAGTATTTCCTTGAGATGCTGGTGAGCTCCTCACAGCAGGCCCTGAGGTGACCCCCTCCTCCAACCCACTCACTGCCCCATTTCCTGCCACCAGCAAAGCTTTCAGGTTGCAACAAATCCTTTAACAAAGATTTCAGCAAACTCTTAAATTCCAACCTTGATCCCAAAAGTGACATTTTCACTGAAAGCAGCTCCCTTTGCTCAGAAACCCCCGGTGCCACAAAACCTGGACCACTTTCAGTGCAACTAATCAGACTGGTTTGGGTTGGAAGGGGCCCTAAAGATCCAGTTCTGATCCTCCTGCACGGGTAGAGGCACCTCCCACTGGACCAGATTGCTCCAAGCTCCATCCAGTCTCTCCTGGAACACTTCCAGGAATGTGGCATCCACGACTTCTCTGCACAACCTGTTCCAGAGTTCTCACCACCCTCACGCTACAGAATTTCTTCCCAATACCCAACCCAAACCTTCCCTCCTCCAGTTTGAAGCCCTCCCTCCACAGAGTAAGATCAGGTTCCCCACGTTAGCTCAGCCTCTCCGTCTGCCTTGTGCCAGTCCCATCTCCCCCCAGACTGGCACCTTGTCACAATACACCCCTTGTCAAGAGAGCTGCCACATCCACCCCGGGCTTGGGTACTTGGGGATCATTCAGTCACTCAGCTCAGGTCTCCAAGAGCTCCTCTTTGCCCCAAGCTACTGCCAGGGCTTTGCTCCAGGGAGCTAATCAAACCACTCTGACAGTAAAGTACCACCTCTGTTGGAGCAAAATCTAACCAAATGCTACAAACTCCTACTTACCTGTGCCAAAAGCAGGCATTTGGACCCAAATACTGGAAGTATGCCTTTAAATGTTCCCCTTTTACAAGGACAGTATTTATTTACATCACACTTCTAGGAAAGAAAACCAGAAATTACAAGTAGATCCAAGATTTTCACCCACTCCAGACATTGCAAGTTTTTGTGCTGTTCTTCTAACTTCTCTACTAAACATTGTCACAGCTGGTGCAACACAGTGAATGGTACAGGCTTGGAGCAGTTTTGTGATGAATGTAGAGGAGGGGACCCAAAATGCCACTGATTTACACATGGCATGGGCAGTCCCTGCAGCAGCCTGCATGTGATGAAGGCTCTGTCACCACTCCAGGACACAAACATTGCCCAGGTTAAGGGAGTTGTGGCTTCATTCAGCATCACTGGTGGTTGTTGTGCTCCTCTTCTTAGCCAGGCAGTGACCAAATATCATCTGATCCCTCCAGACTTCACTTTCTTCAAGGGTTAAACAAGGACAACAAAAACCTTCTGCCTCACAAGGATGTTGAGGCAGCATCAGCAGACAGAAAGCTTTTTGAGATCCTGGAATGAAAAGCCTCAAAGGCTCTAAAGTATTATTAGAAATCTCTTGCTCTGATGGGACACGTGCCATAAGAAAAACAAGAGGCAAGGAGGATTTCTGATCATTATTTTAACATAACTACTCACCACCAAGAAAATTTCCAATTCTAGTTCAAAAGCAGTCAAGTAAGATATAATTTGAAAAATGTAAACTACAGAGAACATATACTTAGGGTTGGAAAATAGTTCCCTGTCACTGCAGGTTAATTATCTTTCCTGTGGGCTGTGTCAGACAGGGCTGAGCAGACCCAGTTTGACCAGCACCAAAACTCAGTGGCAATTCCCCCTCAACACAGCAAAACTAGGGGGCTGGATTCTAAGAGAGCATAATTTGCCTGCAAGATCAGATCCTTTCATCTCATTTTAAAATTGCAACAATGGACACGTATGTCATTTTTTCCAGGCTTACAGAGTTTTCCAAGTAGAGGATTTGCTTCCACACACACGAACAGAAATCCTAGCAAAGAAGAGACTGAGTTATTATTAAACTCGGTGGAAAAAACCCAAACTCACAACTAATCCAGCACAATTCTTCCTTTGTTTGACAATATGACAAGAAATACCTTTTCAAAACTCCTCTTCTTCAAATCCCAAGTCAGAATTTAATCTTCTGTTCCTGATACTCACATTTCAAGCAGGCAGTGGGGTAATGTAAGAACATGTTTAAGAACATCTTCATCTTTCCCTTTTCTTCTGCCATTTATTCACATTTCAAAACAGAAAATGTTTGTCCCCCACTGTGATACTAGTCTTATTAAGCCAAGACTGACACTTGGCAATGCCTCTCAGCTACACAACAAAACTAAACTCCAAGTTTAATTAAATCCCAGCAAAAGAAATCTTACTTGACCCACAGATACCAGTGTATGGAGCCACTGCAGTGAAACACAGGCCATTTAGTCACAAGTAGTTATTAGCATCTTAGAAATCTGCCTTAATTTCTCTGACAGAACTGCTGTGATATAAAACCAAAATGAGACACTTCATAAATAACATCTTTATTAATGAGTTTTCCTTTTCACATTCTTTAAAATGGTGCTGAATTGAAATCTGCATAGTCAAGAGTGCAAAAAATAAGTAAATTAATTGAAGTCAGGCCCAAATGTGAATGTTGCTTTAAGTTAAGACTGGTCACAATGATAGGAACTCCAGAACTAAATGATCAGGGAGATGTGGACAGAGTAGGGATGAAAACCACCAGAAAAACTCTCATATTTGTCTAGTAAGGAAGTCTCACACAAAGACACACAACACCCATTCACATTCACGTGCACACCAGAATGTAAACTACAGGAGAAAGACACTTCCTCTACTGGATGAAATGGAACAGAGCAAGAGTATTTGTGTCTTTAACTGAGTGTTGATCAACTGTTCCCACAAGAGGAACCATTACAATACCCAGGGGGATAAACACAAGGTTCAGGTCTCTTCATGCCCTTATCACAACCACATTTAAACTACAGTAGGAAATGTGTTATGGAAATACACTAAGGATTACCTTTAACACATACTTCTAGAGCAGTATCACTTCCTTTCTTTATTAATTCTTCATATTCTCATCCCTTTCCTTACTGCTGATGTTTTGCACAGCAGGTTGGAAGAGCAAGTGAAGAAGACTTCTGAGTGCCCAGGTAATGGCTCAGCCTGTGGAAGTGGTCTGCAGCAGGACACCTCCACCTCCAGCTTCATCTCCATACACACTGGCAACACAGTCCCAAGTCTCCCACATCCTCACCATAGAGCGACTGCAAGGAGTATTTTTAATATTTACACCATCCACTGATGTAGCTGTTGCTGCAAGGAGTATTTTTAATATTTACACCATCTGATGTAGCTGTTTTTCCCTGCATTCTAACCATCATCAGAAAAATCTACAGAAGGAAAAAGGAGGCAGGTCCCCTACATAACAGTAGGTGGTAAAGACTGACCCATTGTCCATGTGCTGGTGAGAGGCCATTTCTTACCTCCAGTTTGGATTTATGCAGCAGAGATGCTGCTCTGCAGCTGAGCACTAGTTTAAATGCAGAAATCTCTTATGTTGGCCATTTGGAAAAGCTACCCAACATTATCACTCTGAACTTTACCAGGCACCAACTGGGCTTAACACTCTGCATATGATCGTGCAGGAATAAACTTCAGTTATCATTTACATTAATTAGGTTCTGAATTATTCATATGCACAATCCAGGACTGTAGGGAACTGATCATCAATATTCAATCATCTAAGTTCAGATCTGGGCAAGGAATGAGTCTCATTTATTTGCTCTGAGCTCTAAATTTGAGATTCAAGCCCAGCAGGTCAAAAGAAAAAGTTATTTATGAAATCAAACCAATCATAAAGACATTTGATGCCATGGATATTTGAAACATAAGGCCTGAAGTATTCTGGAGAAGACCAGTGAGTAAAAGGGATTCAGTTAAAAACACCCTCATGAGCAGTTGATGCTCTTACAAGGGGGAAACAAACTACACAGTGAAACTCAAACCCATCATGGTGAAATGGTGACTCCAGGGCTGAAACCCTACCTGTGTTTGACAGATGAGAGTGAAACATGCCCAGCACATGAAAAACACTGACAGACCTGTGCTTCAACACCCCTTCTTCAGAGACAACCTGCTTCCTCCTTGGGCAACTAATGCACCCCAAAGATGGGGAAAAACAGCCAGGAGTGTGGACACAAGGACTCCAGAGCACACAACTTCACCCCAGGAACAACCTCCTGGGCAGCCAGCAGCTGCCACACTGGCTGGGTTTCAGGGCAGAACCACAGAAAACAATCCATCTTGTTCCACTTCAAAACACCAAAAATAAAGGTGGCTGTTGGGTGTGGGCTGATCAACCTTCTCAAGCAGCAGCAGCAACTTGATTGGGTTTTTTTGCCTGGAAATTCCACAGGCAAATCTGCTGGCAGACCCCCAAACTATTTAAATTAGGAACAGAATATTTAGTGCAGTGGTACTCTTAATTTCTTCAAAAAACATCCCTGTATTTCTTGTGTCACTTCAGGGGTTTAAATCAAGAGACCAGAAGAGCAAGACCACATTTGACATTAGTTCAAACTTACATTGGCACACTTTTTAAAGGTGGTGGTTATAAGGGCATCAGATTAAATCTTTCTTTGACTAATGCAAAATCCTAAAATAAATGCAATTTGCTAGTCTGAGAAAAACCCCACCTTACTCTAACATCCAGTGTAACTACTTTGTGGCCTTCTGTGTTTCAGGAAAATATCCCACATCATCAGATCATCAGGCAGCCTCACTAGTTAAGACACAGTAAAATGAAACATTTCCCATTAAAGTTGCCAAAAACTGGATTTAGATTTATTGCATGACGTTGCATAAGAAAGTATATTATTGAAAACTGTAAGGCATCATGCAATTATCCATCAGCTAATTATTTATTATTCCTTGAAAGATGGTTATATACTCTAAAGTTATAAAACCAGTTTCAAAAAAGTACATAAAAAAATTTAACATAAGCATTAAATATTTTTCACATGTTTGTAGTTGTTTTTTTTTCTTTTTCCTTTTTTAGCTGTTAAAAAGTGCATTCAAACATACTGTACTGGAAAGTTGCTCTGACCAGAGGTGGTGCTGGAGATGTTGTTAAATCAAAAGCTGGAAGAGAACGTTGCACGGGATCGGAAAAGCTCACGGGCTGCGATACTTCAACTTAACAAACTTGCTCGAAATAATTCTTCAATCCTCACACTTACAATTTAGCATACGTGATATAATTAGCTAAAAAGGTATGCTTTTAGAACTAAACAGTCAAAGGGATCCAAGTTACGTACACTGAGTGATCAAATAAGGAGCAGACTCAATATCCAGAGCCGGGCAGGAGGAGGCGGCTCCGGCGCTACTCGATGTACTGAGCCATCCAACGGAAGCCCTCCCCATAGCCCTGCCTCTTGAGCACGCTGCACATGAACACTTCTAGGGGCCTGGCATTCAGGTCCTTCAGAGGTATACTGCCCTGTGGGGAGACAGGAGGGAGCCAGGTTACAGGAGCAGCATCAAAAGATGGCTCCTTTCCATGGACGTTTGTTCCCGCGGGGTGTCGTTATTTCGCTGGTGTTGGACCCTGGGATTCCAGAACATAAATGAAACCCAAACATGCATGCCTTACTAAGGTGAGGGTCACCTGAGAAAGGCACATCTTCACCTGCATCCCCATTTGGAGAGGGTGAAGGAGGTGAAACCAGAATGCAGCAGCAGGCACATGCCCAGGGAACTGGAGCACCCACTGTTCCCAGCTGCAGTTCCTGCCCTGTCTCTGCCAACGGGAGCTGGGACACAGCCCCCTGGAAGGGCCCTGCCACCTGCACTGAGCCCTCCTTCCAAGGGACAACAACAGGGCAACTCGTTTTTAGTGCCTGTATCCACATGCCTCCTACAAGCAAGACACTGTACTTGAAATTAAGAACAAAGTATCACCAAGATGCGTAACAGAAATCTGCCTTGTGGCTACAGATGCCAGTAAGAACGTTTTTAACTCTCTCAATCTACAAGCTCAGACCTCTGCAATGGTGTAAATCTATTTCTAAGCTTTAAGTAAGCACATTAAGTAACAAATTGCACTAAGTCTGCATTTTAAATGAGAAAAGTTGATCCAGTTTTCTTTTACAGCTCTCTCTAGAACTCTAGCCTCTGAAAACTTACTCATCCTTTTAGGGTACTGCATAAGGAAGCTGAAGTGCTAAAAATAATCCTAAGTACAATGAAGGTTTTTCTGAAAAAAAGTGGCATAAAATATGAAGTTAAAAAGTTGTAGAGGAGATGCATCTAACACACACACACCCAAAAAGACTCCAGAATTCATTTATCCCACATTCCGTTATTATGTACCAAGTACTTTATAAATTAAAAACCATTTATTTTGTGTAGCTGGAGTGAACTGGAATCAACACACAAATAAGGCAAACAGACTCTCTACCAGAAAAAAAATAAAAAATAACAAAGCTATTAAAAACAGACCAGGAGCATTACCTTTCCTGTTGTCTGGCCATAGAGACCAAACATCTCTCGTAACCTCTCTTCACTGATGGCTTCAGGTCTGTCAATTTTGTTACCAAGAATTAGGATAGGCACATTAGCAATGGTTTCATCTGTCATTAGTGACTGCAAAGGAGAAAGGAGGAGAGATTGATTTAGAATATAGAAGGTCAAATTGCTACTACTTCTGTCCAGGTGACAGCAGAGTTCTGTTGGATACTGGGAATTTGAGCTTATTTCTTATAAGTTAAAACCTTCAAAAATCTTAAACTTACATCAAGTTCTTCTTTTGATTCAAGCAACCTTTCATGGTCTGCACAGTCCACCAAGAACACAATGCCATTGATGGCAGGCAGATAGTTCTTCCACACTCTGCGAGCTACAGGGAAGATGGGAATTAAAACAAAAGGAAATTACAAAAGAAAATCCAGAGCAATGCATATCAGTAATTAGGAAGCAAAAGGATTATTTTTTTTTTAAGTTTTAACTTATGTTACCAGTCTTCCAGATGCAATTTCATGTCTTACAAAGCTTGGAATAATGCAGAAAAGTATCATTCTCTTTACTGTTATCACCACTCTATCCCATCTGGACAGGGATGTACTCAAACTTTGCCTGTTCCTCCAGGAATTATGTCAGCAAAGGTAAATCTGAAGCATAAAGCTCAAAGGTAAATGCAAGTGATTCAAAGTACAGAATCCTCTCCAAAATACAGGTATCAGTCAAAAAAATCCACTCTACTGCAGCTATTTGGGATTTGTGATAAGTGGTGGAGACAGACAACAGAGCAGTGAATGTTTCTTGCCCTGTGTGGGAAGTCAATCCCTGCAGTGTGGTCACAATTCTAACCTGAAACATGGGGAGTGCAGACAACTCTGCCTCAGTTCAGAGGAGGGAGCCCATGTATTCTCTTACCTTGAGCATGTCCACCCAGATCAAAGGTTGTGAAAGTCATGCCAGCAATTGTCAGCTCTTCTGAAGCTAGAAAGACACAGAATTATGTACTCTGTGGAAATTATGCAGCACATTGGAGCAGTCTAACCTTCTAGCAGGTAGATTTTACTTTGTCTTGGGTCTTTTCAGTATTTTGTTATTCAAGACACAAAACATCTTCTCTCAAAATCTGTGACATGTTTGTTTAATGGTTAAGAGCATTTTGTTGTTAAAACACGTGCGAAATATCTACAATGCTAAGAATAGCAGAGAGTATTGGTACATTATTTATCCCTATATACACATTACACAAACAACAGTTGGCTCTGGCATCTGGTTTGCCACAAAGATAGCATTTCATGTACAATACTGCTCAGGGTTTCTCTTCACATCCTTTCTCAGTTTTTCAGCTCCTTACTGGACTTCACCAATCCATATTTTTCACCTGCATTGAACTTTTCCTCTTGTGAGGCTACCAGGATAACAATTACACAGCAATCTCTGAGCCAAAAGAAAAAACCAAAAGAGAAAACATTACAGAAATGCTAATTTTCCAGCCACTCAGAGAAGCTGCTTCCAAAGACTGAAAAAGCAAATTTCCCACAGGTTCTGTCATCTAGACTTTCAGCTCCACCATTTTGCTTGTTACACTTCATTTCAAACACACCAGATTGAACTATCATGAATAATACTTGAACTATACCCAGTTTGTAAACCCAGAAATTCTCCAGTTTCTCTCCAATTGCACAGTTGCTCTTATATATACTCTTATATATGTGTGTATATATAAATACATATATAAAATCAGGTCCTGCTTTTCCTGCAACATTTTAAATACTCCCTATCTATGGAAGCAGCAATATTAACTTACTGGGGTGTAATGTGGGGACATGTTGTCCCAGTCTGTCATCCTTGAGCATGTGCAGCAGTGTAGTCTTTCCAGCATTGTCCAGTCCAAGAAACACTAGTTTGCCCGATTTCTTGTACAGTCCTAGAAGAAAGAAGGACCCAGTGAACAATCAGTTAAATGGGTGGGAGTTCATCTTCAGCACTAGAGATGATTTCACTCCCAGGAACAAAGTGTTACAGTCACGGTACAAAATACAGACCAGCCAAGCTGCACTGTGCACTTTATCAGTGCCCTTTATCCAGGTTCTCCTGCTTGCACAAACTGCTCTGACACTGGCTCATGTGCTTCCAGGATGATTAGAGGGAGAGGCACACCAGGGATGTTAACGTGTCCCTCATGTAAATGCATTTATGTTATCTTAGGAAAACCACATAAGAGGACTAAGTTCTGCCAGTGTAGCTCACTCTGCCCCAGCTAAATTGCATGACTATATCCTGAATGGCATTGTCAGGGCAACTCTGACACACCTGCTGTCATGTGGTAATGCCTTCCTAGCAGGAGTAAGAAATTTTATTTTCACTGATTGTCATCTTTGTGAAAATGCCTTTTCCCCTTTTTTCCCCCCTTTCTACTTGTAACCACAGTAAATGCAACAGTTGCTGTGAAGGAGAGGCAGGAGGTGCAAAACACCAACACCATATTTTCTTCAGCTTGGGATTATCAAAGGGCAATTCTCTTGCAACTTGCCAACACTACATCCTATGCCAGGATTATTTTTCACTGCTTCAAACTAACTGACATTCAAAGCAAAACATTTTAAAGCCAAATTAAATTTAAAAAAATGTATATTCTGTACCGAAAAAATGACTCCAGAGTGTCTTAACTTTGCCTTTTTAAAGCAGAAAATCTTCCCTTATTCTCTCCTCAAAGGGCTGTGGCTGGATATTCCACACTGCACATCTCCTTAGGAACAACTACTGACCCCCCAGCCTTCACCAGTGCTGAAGAGGGCAGAGCACTTACTGCAGAGGCTGAGGAAATACACACATGGACATTTTCTTCAAAAGCAAACCTGAGCTGTGTTCTAACAGAATTCTCTTTCTGAGTAAAAAGAATTGCAAAATACGGCCAAAAATTGCAACGTGGGAGGTTTTTACATCACCAGGATCCTTTGCTGCATCAGGTCACAGTATTATGGTGCTTCACAAAAGGCTGAAGAGAAGTTTGTTTTACCACCACAGAAACATTTTGTGAAGTACACCAGCAGGTTTTGCAGCATCACCCTGTGCTGTGCCCGGGGAAGTGCCTGGGAGCCATCCAAGGGGAACACTATCAGCCAGCCTGGGTCTCCCTGCACCAGGAGGACAGTGGGCACAGCAAGCCAGTAGCATCACTTTCTGGGGCCCTCATTTATTTTTCCTCTTAGCCAACATGTTTCATTAGGTGGGACGTGAAGTGCTGCTGCTGCCAGGTGGCTGCTCAGCCTGGCGGATGGCGCAGCAGGACAGGGACACTTGTGCCTCTGCCTGGCTGACCCTTACACCCTGCTGGTTGCTCACCTCCCTCTGCCTTCAAGCTAATCTCTGGTATCACATTCCAGAGGGACACATTGTGCACTTTGCAGGAAGGAATATTCTTTCCTATTCCTCAGCATATTTCATTAATGATGTTTATTACCCCAGGAACTGAGCAGTGTCTTCACAGCTCTTTCAAACTCAACTCTGACTTCCCAAGCTCACCTTCTCACATGCCCTAACATGTATTAACTATGAAACTACACAGCAGTGGAAAGTACTCATGTTTACAGAGAAAAAAGGAGTGGACAAACATTGTCAGGCATTTCACATATTAACTGATGTCACAGGAGAAAGCCCAATTCACAGTTACCAGTTTCAACAAAACCCTACTGAACGATAATATTTTTGCCACTCTCAGCCTGGAAATCCAGGAGCTTTTGCTCCCTAATCAGGTGCTCCTGCTTTCTCTGAAAGATTTCACACTTCCTAAGAGTCTTTCATAGAAACACAAGACAAACTAGCAGCAATACTTCAGCTATGAGCTACACCAAGACTAGAGTTTATATATATATATATATATGTATACATATATTTATTTTTTGTGTATTCTAAAACTATGTGTGTGCAAAGATGTACTTTATAAAGTGATCTCATCAGCCTGCTGGCAGGAGAGGCAGCACAAGGAACTGCAAGAACCTTCCCAAATGTTATGATCAACTTTCTTCAACTGTACATCTGAGAATGAAAAGGGAAGGTGTTTTTTCTAGAATAAAAAGGTTTTATTGAAAGTAATTCTCCTTCCTACTTCAAGCTCCAGTATCCTTCACCAGAATTAGACTTTGCATGCAGAGAGATGGGAAAGCAGGCTAGTATGCAGTAATCACTGCTGTGCTAAGGAAGAAGAGATAAGGAAGATTAGTCAACTTAGTTAAAATTTCACTGGCTAATATTTGATAGCAGGCCAAGGGTCTAACATTCAGCAAAAAGTTTAAACTTTCAACTGATAAAAGGCAGGTGGCACAGCTTGTCATGATTCCTTAACCTCAAATGCTTTTTATCTGCTTCAATAAAATCCTTGGTACTTGCAAACTGTGCCTTTTACCCATGTGATCTGCAACTTCTGTTCCTCTTTTTAGTATCCTTAACATTCCCTTCCCTTTCATTTTTGGGGTTTTTTTTGTTTGTTTGTTTGGTGTTGGGTTTTTTTGCCTCCTCCTGCCTTTGACAAGCTAATATTTCACCTTGGGTCAATATGGACTGCAGACTCTTTTGGCCAGGGAATACTTTCCTGAGGCTCTTCAGCAGATGCCAGTGAAGTTTCACACAAAATAACACACTGCTGAACATGAGCAAGGGCTTCAATATCCAGCACTGCTCTTTTGTGGAAAAGTCCCTCATATTTGGATTCTCAAGTGATACCTTCATGTGCAAAAGAACTTAATTAAAATAACTGAGTGATTTACAGAAGAAAAAAAACAGGAGAAACTCCATCAAAGCAAACTGAATTACAGTGTAATTAAGTGTAGTATGATTAGAAAAGTCAAACTAAAGTGTAATTTTTTTCAAGAGGTTAAAGGATTAATGTAAGGTTGAGTGGGGAACACACTCTGGAAATACTTAGTATTTGCTAAGTGAACCTTTTGTTTGAGTGTTACTGAATATACACCAAAACAAACCATCTTATTTAACCAGCGGCTACATTTGAAGATAACAGAAGTGAGCAGACATTTAATACAAGAATAGCACAAAGGAAAAAACCCAAACAATAAAAAACTTACCTAAAAACTGTAACACGCTACTGAAACCACTATAAATCCAGCTAAATATGAAGGACATATCTGAATCTTATAGTCTGAAATAAACAGAAAATATCATGTATTAAAGATACTTCAGAACAGAACATTAGACATTGTAAGGTATTTATGGATTAAAAAATATATAATCAAGCTGCTATGCTCACCCCTGGGAAAGAAACAAGTGGCCAGGATGGACTGCTCAAACTGATGAATTCAGTTGTTCCTGCCCCCCAAAAAAACCCTTTGCCACCAAAGGCTGGGTTGCTTCTGAAGAAGGGGCCACAACAGAGGTGTTGGGGGAGCTGTGGCACACCTTGAGTGCCCAGAAGGGCAGGCAGCACAGAGGAGGAACCACCACTGCTGCCAATGTGATGCTTTTGGGCACAAGAATAAACCATGACTAGGCTCTCTGCAGCTATCAGCAATTACTTTCTTAGATGTCATCTTAATTTCTTCATTGTCTGAAGTGAGGATAATGACACTGAAAGCACCAGTTTGACAGTGAATTAGTATCCAGTATGAAAACCTCTTGAGAGACTAAAGGAACACCCTTAGAAACATTTAGCCAGCTAATTCCTACTGGAACACACAGCCCCTGCTAGCATCAAGGGACGTGGGAAGTCCAACTGTCCTCAAGGAACTAGACTGTGGTGTCTTGGGGGAGGTCACAAGATGACTTCAGGGCAGCAGACCCTGGGACACAGCACACAGTAAGCACAAGGGACGTGGGAAGTCCAACTGTCCTCAAGAAACTAGACTGTGGTGTCTTGGGGAGGTCACAAGATGACTTTAGGGCAGCAGACCCCGGGTCACAGCACACAGTAAGCAAACACAGGTGAGAACCAGATCAAAATCCAAGCATATGTCACTGCAACTACACGCGTGACAATATGCAGAGTTTCTCCACTACACAACAACAGGTGTATCACAGAAAGACAGTATGGAAAGAATATTCTCATTATGTTTGGTTGCACCAGAACAAAATCTTTTCAGCACATATTTGCCTCCCTGGTTGAAGACTGCATAGGACAAGAAGTCCTTGGTTTCTCCATAACTAACCCTGAAACCATTACTCATGTCTAATGTTGCTCTGAACTGATCAGCTGCAACAGGCACAAATTTTAAGAATACAAATCAAACACGTTTGTCAATGCATAAACACCCAGTTACACAACGTCATGACAGAAACTGTCCCTTGCACAGCTAAAAAGCAAAGGTCAAGAATAAGCAAACATGGTAGAACATAAACGTCAGCAGATTTATTTATTGCTTGAGCAAAATACCAATCGAGAAAAGCCTCTGTGGGGCTTAGAAAAACCATTGACTCAAATAACCTGCAAATCAGGGCAAACACTGTGATGTAAGAGAAGTGCTCAGATTACTGAGGTGAGAATAACTTCACAGTGTTTAGTTCTACTAACTTTTTCCATGTGTTGAGCTTACGGGTAAAGCAACAAAAAAAATCCCTACGTGTTTCCGAAAAGACTTTAAGGGTCAAGATTCAAATGATTACAGCAGGAACAGGATCATCCTGCAAACACAGGTGAAGTGGCATTAACATAGGTTAAATTTCAAGCCCCACAAGAAAAGCAGTGTTAGAATCAGAGCTGTCCAAATACTCCCAGAACAGCCTCCGTATCAGCTGGAAGGGCTTAAAGGGAAATGCTTTTTAAATCGGGGAAAAAACAGGACAGCTAATTGCAGAGGCACACTGGTAATATTTGAATACTGATATTAAATCTACTCTTATCGCACAGGAAAAGTAACTACACAACTCAGAGCAGTGTCAAACCAAAGCATCACCAAGCCATCGTGGCTCTGTTGGTATCAAGAGTGGCTGTGGTGTGAACACGTCCGGGTCACGGAGCTGCAGCGACTGATGGGAGGGCTGGGGCTGCTCAGCAGGCAGGGACCCACATCCCAGGCTTGTGGGAAAAACACCAGGGACCCACATCCCAGGCTTGTGGGAAAAACACCAGGGACCCACACTCCCAGGCTTGTGGGAAAAATACCAGAAACATGAAAACTCTGGCAATGGCTGTTCACAAGCCACGGGGAAGACAAAAAGCCTATTTTAAGGTTATTTCAAGGCTTCTCTTTAAAATAGTCAGTAAGCAGCAGACAAAAGCTTTTCATGAAAAATAGTGCTGGACACAAGACAGTCTTTTGATACCAACTATTGACCGCCAACTTACTCATGCCTCCTTAACAAAAATATCCAAGTTACTTTTGTAGCAACACACCAACAACCCATCGCCATCACTTCCAAGTGTTTCCAGCATCCCTGGTGAAGTCTCATTTGGTAACTCCCGTGGAGCCCTGCCAGCCACCCCACAGCCCAGGGAGATGGGGTTGCTTACTGGAGACCATTTCTGACCGTGGGGATGTAGAGTTCCCTCCCAGGGGCTTTGGCAACACCTTGACCTGGCCTCCTGAAGGGAACATCACTGCCAGCAAAGACCAGCAAGCAAGATCACACACACTGATTTCTTTTCTATTCTGAAAAACAGGGATTTTTTTTTTTCTCTCTCTACTCGACTTATATTTTTCTAGCTAAAAAATTAATCATTTTCCTTCTGAACCTGTTAGAACAGCTCCTATTTCCAAAGTCTGTGAAACGTTACCAAGCTTTTCAAGACAGCTTGAAAACCCCTTCCTGCATGATGAGGCAACAGAAACCAGTGACACCCAAGCCAAGCAGCTGTTGCAGTGACTGGGAATGCACCGTCCTGGGTGGGTCCCCTGCCCACAGCTGTCTGAGAGCTTCCAGGCCACTGCTCCAGGTGGATTTGTGGGTTCCATGAGTGATGGTCACCTACAGCTGTGCCTGTGATCATCTTAGCACTGTTAACCACAGACAAGAAAAATCAAAGCCCCTAAGGAACTGGACGAGCAGGCTGCTACCTGGAGTAGAGTTAATCCTACCGTGTGAGGCTGCGCTTTGGGGCAGCACGTTAAGAGCCGAGAAAAGGGGGTTTGCAGACGCGGTGCCAGCTTCGGGGGGTCCTGCGGGGGCTGTGCCAGCAAAGCCACCCTCGAGGTGATCACCGCGCGGCTCTGTCGCTGGCCGGGCCGAGTAACGGAGATGCCGGCACGGCAGGGCAGCTCAGGGACGGGGTAACGGAGATGCCGGCACGGCAGGGCAGCCCGCAGACCCGGTGACACCGTCTCTCAGCCCAGCCGTGCTCC